ATGTTGTCTCTTCCCAAAGAGTCCCTGCCAGTTCTCAAACAGCCTGTGTTCTCAAATGTTAAGTAACTAGTACCTGGAATTCAAAGCAAATTCTGCCTTTTTTGTTGACTTCTCCAGCTTCTTATTTCTCATATAATGAGACCTTCTAATGATTCAACAAAAGGCTATAACCACTTATTTACCCTTCTGAAGAATTTATCCTAAAAAAATAGTAATAGGAACCTTACCCTCGCAGGGTCTCAACAGTTCTGAAATAGAAAAGGCTGTCAATTATTAAACTTCATTTACTAATTTAATCTTCATTTTACGCCTACAGCCCTATGCCATTAAAAAGGCAGGGCATCTAATGGACCAATGACCATATGGCATATCTGGGTAATTCAAATTCTTTGCTAGGCCAAATATCATACTTGGTAAGAGAATGAAACATGTACACTGTGTTTGTTTAGACCTTGCAGTTTACAATCAGTCCATTAAAGATGCAGGCAGCTATGATTAATAGTGCATCTTTCCTGTTGTGATGGAGAATTGCTGTTTTCTTGTTTGCACTTGTAGTAGATGCAACAGTGAGTGTTGGCCTGGATAATGCAGCTGTTTCTTCCCAGAAAACAATGGAGATGAGCTCCATCTCTGAGGCCCATGGAAATAATCTCGGGAAAGAAGCCAAACCTATTCCACCAGCTGCCAAATCTCGTTTTGCCTTTGCATTTTCACGGTCTGTACCAGGACGTACTGAAGCGCAGGCAACAAATCCATCCGTTGGATCAGCTCAACTTGATGTCAGCTCAGAGGCAGTTCAAGCAAACAAAGCACCGAGTGAAAACGGGGGGCTTTCGGTTGCAGCTGCAGCAGAGACAGCTTCTGATAAAAACCTAAGCGAAGCATCTCTCAGTGAAATCGAACTCTCGGCCCCAGCTAAAGAGGAGGATGCCCCTTTACCCAAGCCCAAAGAATTAACCTTTTTGGACAGACTCTTCAAAGTGGAAAGAGGAAGACAGAAGAGCAAAGTACAGGAACAAAGTCAAGAGGAGGTGACCGAAAACAATCCAGGTGTAGACATCTCCTTGGAAGAAACTGCAGGATTACAAAGCACGCCAGATCATGAACTTCAAGGAAAGGCAAGTATAGAAATAGGAACTGGGTGGGATGGCTAATACTGTGGAAGTCAGAAGTCAAATTCAAAGCAATCCTGATGGAAACAGAAAACACATGCCCAAGTGTAAGATGGGGTGGGGGAAGGGGGTTCCTGGTTTGGTAATAAAACTTGTGAAAAAGATCTTGGGATTGTAGTTGATTACAACTTGGATACGAGTCATCGGTGTAATATAGAAGCAATAAAATCAAGCATAGCTTTAGGCTGCATTGACTAATTGAAGGGTGATTTCCAAATCACAGAAAGTAATAGTTCCATGTCCTTTTCTGTTAGTCAGACCCCATCTTGAGTACTGAGCCTAGTTCTGTGCGCTGCAGTTTAAGGGTTCAGAGAAACTGAGAAACAGGTTCAAAGAAGAGCAATGAGGATGATCAGAAGACTAGTAATTAAGCCTTATGAAGAGAGATAGAAGGAATTGGGATTATTTAGCCTTGAGAAGAGAAGGCCAAGGGGGTTATGATAGCATCCTTCAGATACCTGTAAGGATGTCCTGCAGAAGATCAAAATCTGTTCTCCATTGACAAATAATGGATTTCTGTTACGGAAAGATAGATCTTTTTATTATTATTATTTATTTTATTTTTTTTTAAACTTCCTGACAGTAAAAGCAATGCAACAGTGGAATCAGGCACACGCTGAATACCTGTTTTGTTCCTGACTACATTTATGAAGAGTTTTTAGGGAGCACAAGGTAGTGTCAGATTAGTGAGGTGGAACAGTGCTTGAGGAAGACAAATAAATAAGGCCAGATTTGTCATTAGGCAGAGATTAGTTCAGTCATTTAAAAAAAAAAAAAATATGGGATCCTAGCTGCTTCAATAAGATCTAGTGGGTTACAAAGAGGGTGGGGTTTTTAAAAGAAATATCCTTATTACATTCCACCCTTTTTATATATTTATGCTAGGCCGAGAGTTTTTCTGCAGTAGAATTTCAGATCTCCAACATATCTTACTCCACCATTAGGTGGAATGGGAATTTTAAATCAATGCAATGTGAACAATGTTATATAACAAATTATTTCCTGTGAATCAGATGTTCATAATACCATATTCCTAGTCTTACATGACTGCATTCATACTTCATCGTAAGAAAAAATGTTTAGTTTTAAGATAATAGTGTATAAACCTTATGTCATAGCTTAGAGAAAATGTGGACCCAGCCAACTGTGGCTTATTCAGGAACCTGGCTTGGCACAACATATGAACCCAGTCTATAGTTTAATAGTTTAATCCATTTTGTTGACTGTGTCCTCTTGAGTGCTCTGTTCCTGTCATGATGATGTGAAGATCCTATGCTGATCCCAGACACTGCAGGAGATTCAGTCCCCTGTCCTTTGTCACTGAGACTGTAACTCTCAACCTCCAAACCTTATTGTCATACCCACTGCTCAGTCATAGCTTCTACCTCACTGAGTTGCCTCCAAAATATCCTAGCTAAGTCCTAGCAATATCATCACCTTCAAATTCCTCGCCTCTTCTTATCATATAACCAATTCTTCTGCCTCTTACAACTTCATCCATTTTCCTTTCTCTCGATTTGGCTGAGATCACCTGTGGAGGAATGCCATTTGCATTCCAAGGGAACCTTCACAGGGGACAAAAAAGCCTTTGGTGAAATCTAAAGAGCAGTTAAGTCTTCACTAGAAGAGGATTGCATCTTAATATGCTGAACATTCTGAAGCACTGAGAAACCTTGTTCATGCAAACCCTGGATAGTGTTACAAAGCTTCATGTTTCTGGGAAAACTTGCTGCACAAGCCACAGTAAGATGAATGGATGTCAGGCTTCTGTGCTGATCCTCCTATTTCAAAGCAGCAGCATACACATGTTCAGATAGCCTGAAGTTGGGCTTCCATGTTAAAAAAAAAGTCACCTCTTAATATTTTTCCTGGCTGCGTTTTGTTGGGTTTTATACTCAGATAAAGGAGCCGGATGAGAAAAACCACCCATTATATAAAATGGATTTCTTTGCCTGAGCTAATGGCAGGAAACCCTATTTCCAATTATACGGACTGTATAGTTGTACTGAAAGTCAAAATAGTTGATAGAACTGTAATTCTCTGGATTTTGCTCTGGGCACACATCACTCTTTAAGTAAGCCATGACTGATAGCTTCTGAGGGGTGAATCAATCACATCAAAGCCTTTTTCCCCACATGTCATGATGCCAACAAACAGCATCA